GGTTCCCATAGATTTGGAGGGGGAAATTGGCTTCGAGGTCTTCGATTTCCTTCCAAACTTGACGCCCAAAACCGTGACGTTGGGTAAGGTTTTCTTGAACAACTTCCTTGATTGTTGATGCTTTACTCTTCAGGACCAAAAACGGAGGATATTTCGTTCCCTTGGAATCGGCCAGAAGCATAGCAGTCACGCGATCCTTGTCGTGACCAGACGCCTTGATCCACACAGTCTTGGCACCTTTGTTGTCCATCGTTTGCTTTGGAAGGTACTCGTAGTTGATTCCTGTTTGATCTGCATTGAATACTTCGACGATGCGATTGTCCTTGATGACCTTGCGAATAGACGTCTTAAACTCGGCAAGAGCTTTCTCTCCATCAGCAAGGTTCGCTTGGCCAGAGCGAGTCTTCGCTCGGATCGCAAGTCCCCATCGCTTCATGAACCCTTTCATCCACGATGGACTTGCCTTGAACTGGTTCGCTGCTAAGCCTTGTTCCAACGCCACATCCATTGCCTTGCACGCGAGGAGAGCCTTCGATACAGGTATGCCATCTCCACGAAGTTCAGATACCCATTGAGCAATGTTTTCCTCTGCAACACGGGTGAGCGTTGTAGATACGCCTTGCTTGCGTAGAGTACGCATGTCCCGCGTTCGAGCCTTGGAACAAGCCATAGTGATGTGGCCCCGTTGTGATTCCCAGCGCAGGATCTGCTTCCACACTGTAGTGCGCTTGGCTCCCGCGACACCGGGGAAGAACGTGTCGATGGCGGACTCCATGGAATGTTCTTTGCGCCAGTGGATTATATGAAGCTTTTTCTCGTAGGTATGGTAGAGGTTCTTGTGCTTCTTGGGCATTCGCTTGATTTGCTTGGTACTAGGACGCCCAGTGCGTCGGCCATCGAGCTGAGTTGGCGCCATTATTGTTGCAACTTGCCGCCTTTCTGCAAATCAATGCAGGATTTATAAAGTTTCATGGGTATAGTTTACGAACGAGGTATTGTAGAAAATAATATATTGACTGAATAAGTATTTACAGGTTTTTTCTCTTCGCAACTGACATGTCAACTAAAGTATGACCAAGTCTTGAATAGCCCTAAAGTATCTGCAATGCCCTAAGAGCATCTCCAACGCGGGTCCCTATCCCAACTCTATATCTCAAAACTTCGGTTGTACCGTTACTTCATGTTACAGTACGGATAACTTGGGGCTTATCCGGGTGATTTTGTCCTCAAATTATGGGGATATCCCCAAAATGTTCAGTTATTGGGACGTCCGAGCGAAATGGGGACAAAAACACCCGGATACATCCCCAAATTATCCGTAACTTCGATGGTACCACTGTTGTAACAGGTTTTGGGGATAGGGACATCGATATAGGGACTCCCGTTGGAGATGCTCTAAGTTATTTGCCCAAGACACATCCCTATTGAAACTTGATGTCGGCCAATCAATGCAGTCCATTTAGCCACCACTCAAGGTGCATCAATAATTCTCATCATGCTGGTGCAACGCTTGGCGGCCGGCGGCCGGCGGCACTTTGCGTCGACAACGGCGGCTGCGGCAACAGTAGCATCGACGGCACCTTCCGCTGCTCAGTTGAGCCCTGAGATCCGTGCTTTGTTGGAGTCGTTTCGAACGAATCCGAGCGACGCGACAGCCACACTTCTACAGCAACCCACCACCGACCTGCCTGTCCCAGTCGCGTTGGAGCACGTTGTAGCCCAACTGTTCCGAGGAAAACACACAAAAGAAGCTCTTGACGTCCTCCAGCTGTCTCTGGACCGATCTATTGGTATCGATTACAGCATCGCCATCCGCAAGTCGGGCGCGCTGGACCGCCAAGACTCGAACGCCGTGCTGTCTTGGCTGCACGCGAACGCCGCCAGCATCGAGACGGACCAGCACGTGTCGATGATCCGCGTCTGTCTCCGTCTCAAGCACTTCTCCAGCGCCGTGCGCTTGTTCGAGCTCATCCGCACCCGGCAATTCAACGGCCGCGTGCTGTCCAAAGATGTACGTCGCCATACTCGAGCCTCCATCCTCTTGACTTGATCTGCATAGGTCATGTATCTCTTGGCCGCCGTGGAATCCGTGCCCAACGGCCGCCTACGCCACGAACTGCAGACGAAACTCCTCCGCTTCCACTCGCACCCGTCCAACATATCGGCGCCCGAGCTCGTGACCGACATGTGCCAGCGCCAGCCAGACGCCGCCAGCCAGTGCGTGCAGTGGGCCATAGGCGTCATCTACTGGCGGTCTCCTGAAGACTGGCCTGGCCGACTGGCCTTGATTGAGGCCATCTTGGCTTCTGCGCTCGCACACGGTGTCGCATTGGAGAACCCCATGCGGTTCTCGATGGCGTTTGCCAAGTGTCGCGACCACGACCTCGACCCCGAGCGCCTCGTCCACCTGTTCCTGGCCATGGCCGGCCAAAACCTGGTCGACCCGAACGAATCGTCGTGTATGGCGGCGATCCACGCTTGTCAGAACGCAAACAACTTTGCGCTGGCGCTGACGCTGTTTCACCTTCTCAAGCGCAGCCAGCCTATGAACTCGCGCCTATTCAACACGGGCCTGTACTCGGCCGCCAAATCCGGTATGTACAGCGAACTATGAACCAATAGTGTTCTTTGTACCCAAAATTCAGACTTTCGCCAAACATATCGATGGATTCTTTGTACTGAATTTTGTACATTGAAGTATGTACTGTAGAAGGGATGCCAATCACACTAATTAAATTCATACACTAATTAGATGTTATGATGGTGTCCTCCAATCGGATTGGCTCAATTGTTGTGCCGATTCTGCTATACATTTTTATTGTCGTTTTTACCCAAAATTTGGACTTCTTCGCCAAATCTATCGATCGATTCGTTGTACTGACTTTTGTATGTAAAAATCATTCAGTGTCATACTAATTTCATTCACACACTAATTCGATGTGGATTTGTTTGGCTACTTGATTCTTTTGATTGGTCGTATATCGATTGTCTGCCGATTTGGTCCATCCCACTCCAATTTTGAATCAACATAACAAGATATAGACTCATATGAACATGGGCGTAGGCAATGAAGCGGCCGTGGCCAGCCTCGCGCTCGAGATGCTGGCCGCCAATGTGACCCCCGACAAGCGGTCGCTCGCCGTCGTCCAGTCGCTGGCAGCGTCCCCCACGTCCATGGGGTTTCTCATCAAGGACCCGCAGCTGGTGGACTATTTCGGCATCTCGAGCACGTCCATGGCCAGTGCAAACGGCAGCAGCCCACGCAAGCAACGCCAGTCTCCGCCGCAATCACAACCGAGCGAGGCCAAAGCCACGCCCAACACGTCTCGAGCCCCAACGCCGAAACCATTGGGCGACAGCAGTTGCGCCATTATGTAGCCGATATAAAGACAACTTTGAAGTGAAAATGATATTTTGTCGCTTTGATACAAAATTGGGGAGGGGGTGCAATCGAATCGCGCCGACGAAACCGATCCACAATCGATCTGATTGGTTGAATTTCGTTGAAAAGGTTTTGGTTGGCTAATAATGTTGAGCTCAACTGAAGTAGCCAATCAAATTGATTTAAATTCCATCGAGAAACCACGCCACTAACTGTTACACGAAGTTTCACTCAAAAGCACAGTAATAACATGATAACAGTAACGTTACTGTGGCTCTTGACTGTGAGTACTACCGGTAGTACTGCGTAGTAGAATGGAGTGTGGGAGGTGGCATTCTTGTAGAGAACGTATGTGGACCCCATCTTGACACCATGTTAAATAGGAACGAGAGGATGCATCTAAATGACGGCCGCACCGGTGGGTCGTTTGCGGAAGTGATGCTGCACGCCGAGAGAGAAACAGTCGCGCTGGATCAGTTGATGTGGAGGAATAAACCCCCGCCACCGCCTTCCGCTCGTCCCCGAATGATGCGGGTGCACGTCTCGATCATCTTCGTCCATGTTTTCGTCGTTGTCGTTGTTGTTGTTGCTCGTCGAGTCTGGTGATCCCATGGGAAAGAGCCCAATGTCGAGGTCAATGTCCCACTCAGGCGACCGCGCAATGGTTGATGGTCGCTCACTTGGCGGACTGTACGCACATTCCCACGACGTATGCCGGTGCGGACTGCTATACGTCAGGTCTTCCAACGACGTGCTTCGGGACTTCGTTGGGATCATGATCGGTGCGCTGAGGCGGTTCGACGGGTCGGTGTCGGCGCGCCCGTCGCGAGGAACCTCATTAGTCACGTGTGGATTGATGCGAAGCTTCTCGAGGTACTTGCTCCGCCACTCAGACGACATGGACGGGGACAATACTGTCTCTCCCTCCATCTTCATCGCCAGCAGGTGCTTGTGCGCCGCCGACATGCGCTTGGATGTCGTCGGCAACATCTTTTATATCTGTTGGTGGATTTGAAAATGTGCGAGGAGGCAGTTGCTGGTTCCCTGTACTCGATGCTGATTGGTCCGTTCAAGTGCTGGTCGGCAATATTATCCCACGATAGTAACAATTTATCCGGACACCGTATCTTCCCTCCTGAAGCTTGACCAAGTACCAGCGTCACGACTGCCCCAGATACTCTCAAGTCGATTGACTGGGTTTTTTAGACTAATACAGCTGTATATTGTACCTTCATGTTCCTTGGAGTTGCATCATGTGCTAACGCCTGGCGGTAAAGAAGCACACTTTCAGAGGGTTTGTCAGCCCCCTTTTATCCGGATTATGTCGTTTTTTGAGATCCGTCCGTTGATGGCACGCCCGTCACATGCAACCTCACTGGTTCAATCACTACCAGAACTGTCATATGTAATTTGGAAGATTCATCTATCCTATAGTAAAACTAACCATACAATTAGGATCTTATGGCCTAAATGTATCTTATTTTTCCCAAAGTGCGGATGTTACATATATACCCTGATCGAATTAGTGAGTGCTTAGGGTCTTGGTTGTTCGACGTGTTAAACATTTAACATAATGCGTCTAATTCTTGTTCCAGCTTCAAACGCAATTTAACGTACGTTAAACGATATGTGACAGTGCGTTTAAACAAGCCAGAGGCATGGGACGAGGCAAGAAATGTCCAGTTGGTATCTTCGTTTGGCTCGGGATGGATCTTATCAATGCAGGAATCAACAGACTGTCTATGCTTGCCTCGAACAAGCCCACATCGGTGGCCGTAGACAATACTAGTACATGCAGTGCCGTCCGCCCTTTTGGACACAACATTTGCTAAATAGTGTGCAAGGTAATCGGTCTGTTGACCCCCTTTCCTTGCCACGGAGTCGTGACGCAATGTAGAAACCCCGAAACCCCGAAATACCATTGTTATTCGAATGATAATTCATTCCTTCAGCTTGGCGACATGAACAACACATCTATCCACACTGCACTGTACATTCTCATATTTGGATGTAGATACCACAGAACAGAAAACCCCGAAACCCCGAAACCATGGTGAAATACTATTAGAGTCATGGGTTATGGGAGTAGTTCGTGATGCCATACACCCGGTATTTTGGAGCTAACGTTATTAAAATAGCTACAGGGCAATTCCTTAATATTTGGCGATCATTTCCTCGCATTAACAGTAAAATTCGTCGACAGCTTCGAGGGTTTTTTCTGATAATACGTATTCAAAACGCGTTTATTACATCTGGAGATATATCAAGTCATACGATGAAAATTGACTCATTTTGAATTGCTTTACAGTTAACGTTAGCGCGAATATCAACATCCCAGTTGTGTTTAACTAACTGTTAATGCCCATGCCAGCAAATTCCCTCCACCTTTCGATAAACCCTCTTCATAGTTATACTTCAATTTACACCGTTAACGTAAGCTGTAAAACCAGGGATTCAACGTTTCTTAACCGCTATAAACGGCCCTACTGGACCTTCTAACTCCAGGATGAATTACGGCGGTGGCACGTTCCGAACGAACCTGTCCGCAACAAAGCTACAGTCTCCAGTGACTGCTTCCACGCTTCGTAGCGTGATGCTTGGTCCTGATACTACACCAGCCGAACTCAAGACATTTCGGACGAAGCATCCGACGATTCCGCCGAGGAAACCCCGAAACCTTAATACTAACTACGTTCTAAGTCATGTGTGCAATGTGTTTGGAGCGTGACGTGTTGGAGTGCAGGACGGGGGTCCCACGTTTCCATCAATTCGTACATGTGTAGTTATTATAACATGCGTGATGTGTCCTCACTTGGAGACAGCATATGTATTATTAGATACTTTACTGGTTGAGGTTTCCAATAAGCGCTGTGCCATTGAGGACCCAGTAGGCGGCGGAATGTTCGCACGGGAGATGAACGGAGATGACGAAGTTGGACGAGATGCCCGTGGTGGACAGCGTACCTCGCCTCGCGGTGGTCTTGTACACGGGGCACTCGTACCTCGGACCAGCGCTCTGAGCGTCCCCGGATGTGACAACGTACGGCAAAAAGTGGACGGGGGGCAGCACCGACAGCATTTCATTCGGGTTGGCATCACAGAGCAGCTTGCGTTGGTTGTCCCACCGCCCGCCTTCCAGGAACAGGCCTACACGGTATTAGGTCTCTTGTATGGGAGACTGACTATATGAGGGCGTACGTACCCGTGACGATGGCGCCGTCGACTACTGCCAAGTCGGCCGGGTCCACTTCAAAGGTAAACTCGAGAGTGTTGATCGGCAACACGTGCTTTCGGGCGTGGTTCTGGAGCAAGCTCGTGAGAAACCCCTGGGGGAAGAAAAAGTACGGCAACGGAAACGTCGGGGGCGGCGACCCGTTCTGCAGCCACTGGCGGAAGAACTCGACGCGGTCCACGACGTCCACGAGCCACGCCGCGAGGGGCTTCAACGAGGCAAAGCCCACCTTGTGCCATTCTGGAGGAACTTGCTGTAGAAGTAGGCTCTTGTACGTCGAGTCCAGTCCTTCACTCATGGTCACGACGCCTTTGACGGCCAGCTGCAGCTGCGTTATGGACACCTGCACCACCCGAAGAAGGGTGTTAAACTTGACCATTTCCTGCCCGAGCACCGTCGCGAGCGAGTCCACCACGAGCCCACTTTGAGGAGTAAGTTCGTTTCCGAGCAATGCTGGGAGGAGGCTGTCCACTTGAGCGGCGATTTGGAGCACTGCGGCGTCGCCGGTGTCTTCGACTAGGGAGACTGACGACGCTGAAGTTGCTCCTCTGGACTGCAGGTCCAGGGCTGTGACGAACAAGGCGTTGGTTTCGTGGGTCTGGAAGACAATATTGGCGTTCTCGTGGAGCCCAAACAGGTCGGGCGTGTCATGCGACGGCAACAGCTCTATAAAGTCACGGAAGGCCACCGCTGTGTGACACTGTGTTGGGGCAAAGTACAGCTCCGACGAACGAGTAAAGAACCTAGCGGGACCATTGTCGTCTAAGATCACGGGCGAGTAGAACCGCTGCAGGTTGGTGACCAGGCACCGTCTATCGAACTCGTCTGTGACGCGGCCGCCGTAGTTGATTTCCCCTGTCACATAATGTAGCGCTTCCCACGGAATGTGGTCGTTCTCGTTGAGAAACGTCCGGAGGACCGACAGTGCCGTCTCCAGGTCCGAGTCGTTGAAGTGATAGGGAAGGGTCCACCCCATGGGCCCAAACTTGGAGCGCTCCTGGAGCACCGCGTGGAAGAAGCACAAGCCGAACACGAGCTGCTTCCACGCGGGTTTGGCGCATTGACTGAGGGCGTCGTCTGTGATAACCATCTCGAACGACCGCAGAAGGTTGGGCTTGAGGCCTTTGGGCGGCTCGTTGGTGATCTTGACGCTAGACTGTAAGATCGAAATCGGAAAGTAGGACGCGGGAAAGGACGTGACGAAGAGGCGGAAGGCGTCGTTGACGTCGGACGGGTCGAGTCGAAGCCCCTGGAGGATCTTCTCCAAGGCGGGCATCCACGATTTGGCCAAGTGGCAGTTTTGCAGTAGCACCCAGTCGCCAGATTGAGAGCACCGGTCGATCAACGCACTCGCCACCACGCCCTGGCCTTGGCTACATGCACAAACACGTGGATGAATGAGAAACCCCGAAACCCCGGCAGAAAAATAATGGGTTCATTGTACCCGAGGGACACGACGTGGAGGTGGTCGTCCTTGTTCATGGACTGTGCAAACCGGTGCAAAATGCTGGTCGGGTCCGCCCCGGATGACAGAATAAACACGCACGGAACCGTTTTCGACATGTCGGCGTACACATCCGACATGGCAAACGGAGGCGACTTGGTGTATTGCGCCCTATACATCCGTCGTTTTCACTTTAAATTCACTCAAGTAACGCGTAATTCGTACCCCAAATATCCACCAATGAACGACACAACACTGACAATGCCTCGGTCTTGACGGAGAGCTTTGACCAGAGCCAACTTGATGAACGAGGTCAGCTTGACGTCGTACTCGTCGGGCATCTCGGCCTTGTACGGGTTGTCGTGGTCGATCCAACTCGCCCACGCTTGTGGGTACAATTGCATGGACGCTGGGATGCCTTCCATTGCTGAGCAAGTTGCTGCCATCGTCGTAGCAATGCCTATGTGTTTTGGCATTGCCAATGCATCCGTTGAGACCGCCACGGGGTTCAAAAGCAACAGCTCGGGGGGGGTCACCACCCCCGCGTCGATCGCAATCCGCACCGCCATGACGAACGACAAGAGCAGCTTATGCGACTCAAACAGTCCCCGGCATACATTTCTGTAGACTAGAAACGTCTGGCTTTCAATCAGGAGGGGTAGTCTACCATCTATGGACACGGTCGGGCTCTTAATGCACTCGTCCATGCTTTGGTTGAACAGACTGGAGAAGTACTCGAGGGAGTACTGGTACATGGGGTCCACCGCCGCCAAGTCGGCTAGGACGAAGTACAAGATGGACCCGCGCGTGGACACACTCCGGTACTTGTTGCGGATGTCCGAGATGTCCGCCCGCGTGACCTCCGACTCGGCCAGCCGCTCCGACACGACCGTAGACGTTTGTTTGGACTCGGCTAACGTGTGAATGAGCACTTGGTCGTCGAGGATGTTGCCCTGGGAAGTGGACAGCAGCAGCAGGATCTTGGACTCGATCGCCTGGAGGAGCTTCTGGTCGTTGGCAATACTAGCCAAAAGCGTGTTCTTCTTGAGCTCGATCTCGGGCTGCTCCTTCCGCACGACATCGCCCAGCAACTGATCTTCCAGGCCTACTACAACTTTTAAAGGATGGCAAATAGAAGGGGCGATGATATACCCTCCTTTGTCACGGTGAAGTTGATCATGTTTACTTTGATGCACACGTCCGGGAGGTAGTGTGGGTTCGGCAGCTTGGTGACCATGTACAACCTGAAGTTGCGATCGTACAAGACGTCTTTATCCCCCAGGCGCAACATGTACTTGCCGCCTTGTTTGGTGAGAGATTTCAGCAGCAAAGTGTCGAGCGCCGGGTCCAGAGTGTCCTGAACGTCCTCTATGAGCAACGGCCGGCCGTCCCGAACGCACGTTTCAACGTTTCGCAACAACTGCTTGTCGTGCAGCTTGACCAGCTCGAGGTTGAATGGCAGCTCCATGCGTTTGATCCAGCTGGCCGCTTGTTGCTGGGGATCGATCAGCAACGGCCACCGGTCGCCGCGGAACAGCATGATCGCGTTCTCCCCCGATACCGTGTCCGAGGGCAGGCCGTGGAGCTGCCACTCGCGAAGTTGCACCGAGTCGCAGCAAGTTTCTAACAAACTATAGTTGGTCGTGCACGGCAGCAACTGGTTGCATTCGAGTAGCCACAACTTGGTCAACTTGGCTCGAAACGTGCAGTCAAACGGGCCCAGGTAACTGATCGATGCCGCAGACAGAAATACATCGCCCACCAAGTTGACCTCGTCCTTGACCATCGCCTCCATCGATGCTTTCCACCGGATGAGCTCGTCTGCCAGGCCCACTGTGAGCTTCTCGGCGCGCTTCAGCCGCTCCCGAGTCAAGTCGCTCTCCATGATGAGGCGCTTTTTCTCGGCCACGACAAAGTCGCATTGCGCCTGGAGCCCCCGCACCCGCGTGATCACAGCGTTGAGTTCGGCTTGTTTCGTAGCAAGTTTGCCGTTGGCGTCCTGGAGCACGGCGTTCATCTGGTTGAGCCGATCGCGCTTCGGACCTACTTCCTTCACAACTCTCGAGTACACGTCCATGGCGTGGATCCACATGCACAGACTCATGGCGGCCTTGGACACCTTCTTCACTTCGTCCACGGCGAACTCGGGGCTGTCGGTGTATTTCCGGACCTTCTTGAGAACCGAAGGCGGGATGTTGTCCTTGTCGTACTCCTTGAGCTCCTGCATGAACGTCGACTTGGCCAGCAGCTTCTTGGACGTGTCCCAGTCGGGCTTTTCCCCGAGCATGATGCACACCGCCTCCATGACCACCTATATATGTATGTATTCACTGGTAAATCACCCTTACGATGGATGTAAGTCTGCGTACAATCACGATTTGAGGCGGTTTAGCAAAGCTCCGGACTTCGGTGATGTCCTTCTTGTCCAGTGAATCCAACGCTTGGACAGCGGCGTTCAGAGCTGGCATGGCCGTTTCCAAGTCTTTTAACGCGTCAGCTTGAATGATCGACACTTCATATGCCTGCGCTTTTACTATGGCTTCGTCGTGGCTCACCTAGTCAAGAATGAAACGAAAACCCCGAAACCCCGGAACCCCGAAACCCCTGTCAAATGGGAGTCTACAACGTACCCTTTGCTCGACGACCGCCGCTTCTTTCTGGTCGATGGACACTTGTTTGAGCAATTCCTCGGCCTCGACAGCCTTGGCGGCCAGAATTGGCTGCAAGTTGGTCAGTTCAATCTGCAGCGCGGCCACAATGCGATTAGTGTCTTCAAGCTTAACGACACCAGTGCTCAGCCGTTCAAAGGCGTCTTTGGCCTGCTGGCGCTTCTCCATGAGCATGCGCAGATAGAGTCGGATCGAGTCCAAGTACGTTTTGGGCGTGATATACACGTGCCGCTGAAACACTTGATGGAACAATAGCGTGTGTCGATGGATGCTCAGATGCACCTGCACAAACATATGGGCCAACGCCCTGCGCGACGCTTCCGCTGCCAGCACCACGTCCACGAGGTAGCTCTCGGCCACGCACATCAACGCGGTGGTCGGCCACTCGTCGTACCAGTCCATAGTCGTGCAGTTGATCAGCGACGGAAACTGCCGGCACCAGCGGCGAAACGTGGCGCCCACCGGCGACATGCACAGCACAATGTGGAGGTGGCTCCGGATTCGCTGGACAAACGTCGTTTCGGCATGCTGGCGGGTGTCTTCGATGGACAACTGCGCGAGTACCGGCTTCATGTCGTTGACCACAGCTTCGAACTCTTCGTGTGTAAACAGATGCGGGATCTCGCCAGCGTTGAGCAGGGCGTTAATGTCTTCGACAAACTCGTCCGAGATGAGCTGCGTGTCCGTGAGCAGAAACATCGTGTCTTTGCCTTTCACGCCGGTCTTGACCAGCAACGTCTTGAGATCTTCGCGGAATTCGCTGCGGCCGTACTGCCGCGTGAGTTCGATCTCAAAGCAGTCGTGGGACATGATGGACGCTGCCAGCTTGGCCAGACTCCGCTTGCCGGACCCGCCCACGCCAATCAACATGGCGTTTCCCCGAGGTTGCATGAGGATCCGAGCCATGCTGGACACGTGCATGATTGTATCTCGGAAGAAGATCAGCGTCAGCGGCGTCGGGTGGGTGCTGTTGTACTCGTCCACGAACGAATTCAGCAAGTCTTCGAGGCTGGCAATGTCGGCGATCTCGTCGTAGTCCTTGACCGAACCCGTCCCGTAGCACCCAAAAAGCACCGAAATCGCATCCTCCGAGCCAAAGATGGCGTCGTGGGTCCATCCCATGCGGAAACTCTTGTTGACTAACCCCACCAGTGTCGTGGTAAACCACACTCGATCGGGTTTGCAGACTAGGCGGTCGCAAAACACACGAAGACACTCGTGCATCCACAGCTTAACGGCGGTCTCGACCGAGAAGGACGAACGGATGCTCACTACGCCTGCAAACACCTTGACCACGTCGCGCAAGTTGAACAAATAATGACACCGCGACGGCGTTGGCCGCAGCTCCTCCGACACGGCGCCATACAAACTGATGGTCGCGTCCACCATCTGAACGGTGGCATCGCGCACCCCGGGGGATACATTGTTCAGTGCATTCAGATGCCCCAGCACCACCGCACTGAAGATCACGCGCATCGCGTCGTCGTTGCCGGCTGGAAGGGAAAATACGGTAAAGTGCTTCATGAATCGCTGACTGAGCGCTTGTCGACCGCCGCCTACAGGGGTTTCGGGGTTTATATATCAACACTTTTGTTGAATTTTCGGTTTATATAAGTCGAGTATGTACCGGGGTGCCCAGCGGCGGCGGTGATTACCGTGTCCGACACGTCTTTCCAAAAGTACTTTTCACGGTCGTACACGCCCTTGTGGTCGAGCAACTGTCTTAGCAACTCAATGCACGGCTGGGTGCCGTATACGTCTGCCGCGGGTAAATTGATGTCGTCGGCAAACACAACCACCTTGTGGTTCACAGGTGCCCCGAGCAACGTCTTGCGTTTTTTAATCAGCTTGGATTCGATGTTGCTTTGCGTGGTCATGCTCGTGGTTTGGGCGGAAAAGTGCACGTACACTGGGATCACCCCCGGGCCTACTCAAAACAAGACAAGTCACAAAACCCGAAACACCGGAACCCCGAAACACCAATTGATCCAAATGCGATGTACCGTGGGCATCGCCAGAGCTGGCCAGCGTATCCAGCACCGAGTGCGCAATCACAGTCTTTCCGGCGCCAGTGTCGCCCGTCAAGAAGACCGGCTTCATGGCCGCCACGAGCAACGTGTACAGGTGCGAGTACTTAGTCACGTCCACCGTGGGCACTGTGATGTTGAACACGGGTGTGTGCATGTTGTACGTGAAAGGCGCGACGCTGTTCTCCCAGTGGCTCCATGCCAGCTCAGCGAACTCGATCGAAAAGTCATACACGCACGCCATGCTACGACTTGCCCCCGTGCCGACACAGCTGGACGCGCCCCCGCTGCTTTTCCCACAAACCTGCAAAACAATAGAGCAAATTGTAACCCCGAACCCCCGGAACTCCGAAGTGGTATTATTACCTGCAAGAGCGAAGGTACAAAGAGGCTCTTGTTGTCGCCTAGCCAGCCCATGTACAATTGGTTGAACTGGCGCTGGTCGCGCTCGAACAAGTTGCCTCCGAAGGCCCACCCCATGGCGAACACGAAGAGCATGTCCAGACACTTGAGCTGCTTGTCGGCGTCGGCGGAGGGAAACCAGTTTTGCTGCCGATGTAATAACGTTGCAAACAAGTCGCAGCCGTTGACAATCAAGCTGAGCAACGTCGTCTGGAGCGGAAGGGGAAACGAATAGATCCACGGCGCGTCCAGAAACGTTTCCAGCTGCTTGGTCAGTCGCGGTCGCAGTTTGGGGGAAGCGTATTTCGGGTCTTGGTCGGAACTGCCAAAGATTTCGTTTAGCCACGTGTCCACATACGGCCGCCAGCCCAGCGTCTTGTCGGAGAAGTAGAGCACTCCCAGCCGGGACACAGACGCGGGAGACGCAGAGTTCATGTCGGATACTTCAAATAGTAGTCGCATCTACAATGTTTATGAATGAGGATAACCCCGAAACTCCGAAACACCGAATCACATCGTCACAAGAAAAGCCTACCCGCGGAAGCAGCTTGATGCGCTCGCCGTTGGCCAGACATAACGTCATATTGTCATCTAGGACCGTGTTCAAGTTTTCAATCCACAGCGCGTCGATGGGGCCATCGAACACGAGCCATGGAAACACTTCTTTGTCTTGGCCGGTATTTCCTTCCTAGAAGTATGCATGTATAAGCTGAGGTCGTGAGCCAAATAAGAAGGAGAGAACCAAGTTGTCGGAGATGATGGTGCGCATGAGAGACGACGCGAGGCCATCCTTCCACTCATGTGTGAGCGGGTGGAAACTGCCGTACAGTTCGCCCAGTGAAATGCACTTGGGATTGAGGACGTTGATAGTGACTCGCTGGAATCGGCGGTCCGCGCTCTGCTTGTCCTCGCGCAAGTCGCCCATGGCATTCTTGAGCAGTGTGTAGCAGGTGGTCTTGCCGCTGCCGCTGTGTCCGGTCAAGGCGACCCCCGACCGCACTTGGAGCGTCTCGAACAGGTCCACGGCGCGCCTTGTGAGGGCCGGCACGTCTTGGAGCCTTTTATACATATCAATCCATATTCCTATTCATCTATTTGTAAAGAATAGGCCAATGTACCCCATTTGCCGTTTCTGCTGAGCGATGCTTTCTTCAAGCACACTGGCCTGAGCTTCCGGCACTTGTACGTTCGGAAACAAGTCGCGGATGATGAGGAGGAACAGGGCGAGGTCATCGTCGACGAACTTGGGCAGATTCGCTTCTCTTATCGCCCGGATGAGCAGAAGCTCTTCACTGGGGGCAGCTGCTGCGTTGGAGTTGCTGTTGGCTTGCTGGCGCTTGATGCCCCCCGCCATGACCAGCACCGTCTTGACGGCTCTCATGCCAAAGTCGTAGTGCGTCTGCTGGCTCAGCTGCTCGGAGCAGAGCTTGTACAATTTTGTGATTTTCTTGCTCAGGTCCTTGGCATTATCAAACCCCTCAGAGAACATCATGATCTCTGCGATCAGGCTGTAGTCTGGCACCATCATCGAGATCGGTCGAAAGCAGATCTACTCCATATTACTTAACGAAGCAACAATTGATCCAAAGCGATGGCCCTACCTTGAGGTTGTCAGGCAACTCGGTTCTTCCTGCATACCCCGGGTTCATAGTCACTATCACGTGATGGTCTTGAAGTAAAATCGTTCGGCCTTCGAAGCACAACTCAGTCGTGCCAGCTAGTCGCCCCTGCCGAAGGATCATGAGTTGTTGAGCAATTACACTGAGCACTTCGATGTCGATGCGGTTGAACTCGTCCAGACACGTCCAGCAGCCACACTGCGACAGCCCACAAAACAGCTTTGCCATCATCTTGTAGTCGATCTGGTCCGAGCAGTTGAACACAATGCACTGAATCGCCAGCGCTTTGGCCAAGTCTTTCGACGTTTCCGTCTTGCCTAATGACATCAATAAATATTCACTTTGAACCCCGAAACCCCGGAACCCCGATACCCCGACAAATAGATTCACTTGCCTGTGCCCGCGGGTCCCGACGGCGACGCCCCGAGCTTGAGGTCGAACGCGCCCGTGATGGTCATCCAGCACCGGTCCGTTAACGGTGTGATCACCAGGCGGGAGCACGCGCCCATGTATTCGTACCCATATCGAATGCTCACATTTGACTGTTGGATCAGCGTGTCGTCTAAGTCTACATCCCACATGTACCGCAGCTGTTTTTTCCAGTTAAAGTCATGTGTTGCGTGCACTTTGAGCTGGATCAGCTCGTCGACGATGTCTCGCGCGTGCACGTCCGTCGTGACTAAGGACGTGACGATGCACCGCTGCAGCTTGGTCAGCGGTGACCGGATGAGCCGCGTGAGCCCCCCCAGCTGCGCCACGATCGTTTTGTGCCACTTCTCCAGCCCCCCGGCCAGGCCGAACGCCCCCTCGCACTCCTTGGCCCATACCATGTACGTGACACTCGCCACGCACTGCGCCGGGTGGAGAAAGATCCAGCTGTCACGCTGCGACGGCTCATAGTCACCCACGCACGCTGACACAAAAACCAGTGAATGTCGGGGTATTTTCGGGGTTTTATCTACCTTTCATGGATCGATGCAGCGACGTGGTCATGTTGACTTGGACAGCATTGAGCCAGTCCTCAATGTTCCCCCGGGCTTTCAAGTTGCGGCCAAACGGGACCCTCTCCCCCTCGCTCGAGTTCATACTCAAAATATCGATCGACCCGTGAGCATCTCCGAACTCGAGCCGCATAATCGCGTCGAACAACTTGCACAAGTGCGGCTGGACAGCGTGGGGTTCCTTCGTATGGGCCAAGATCTCGAGCAATTCGTCGTTGCTGAGAAAGTAAAACCGGGGAAACGCCTGCCGCTTGGTTTCCAAGTAGTCTTCTAGGGACTTGCGCATCTTTTCGAGGGAATCTACACACGAGTTCAACCCAATTACTATTGATATTCGACCTACGGTTGTGCTTGGAAAGGGTATCGCACAAGCCCGGGGCGGCCGTCGCCTTCATGCAGTTGGGCGTGTCGTGGGTCCTGAGCATCAAATCCTTCCAAAATGTGTTGACAATTGTAAACATTTGCGCTTCCGCTGGCAGCTGGCGTTGGATGTCCGGCGCCGAAAATATTGTTTCCAGGTACACCCATTCCCGTTGACACGCCATCCATTCGTCCACGGTTTCTACCCCATATTATACCGTTAAGTTTGCCTTCAAAATATCAATTCCACTTGCCCTGAAAAGACACGAGACGATTGTGCAGGGCCACGGCGTCGTCGCGGATGGGCCCGACGTAGCGGGATCCGAGGATCGTGTTCATATTGATCAAGCTCTCTTCCAACGCGCTGATGATCTCGTCGGTCGCGCCCAGGACGTACATGTCCTTGCGGTCGTTGTGCGACTTGATGTCAAACTCCAAGTCGGCCCATAGGGTGGAAATGCGCACCAGCAAGTTCTCGAGCAACTTTTCCTGCGTTGCTTCCGTCGCGATACGGTTCACACTGGGTGCAAACTCTTGCAATTTCATGTCCACCAGTCGTCCCAGCGTCAAGCTCGGATCGCCCATCACGTCAAAGTGCAGGACATCCGTCAACTATCAGAGTCATGTGATTGTTTACAAACCCCGAAACCCCGGAACCCCGAATGTAGTACCTCTTTCCAGTGGCGATCTTGTAGCGCCGGACACCGCAAATCCCCGACAATCGGCAACGTCACTTTGAAACTCTCCACGGCCTCCTTTAATGCATGGACGACGGGGTTCCCAGGCAGAGATCGTTCGCAACTGAGTGTGGTTTTGAAATACGCGGCGACTTTGTCCTCCAATGAGGTCACGTTGGCATCTGCGAAAGTGGTATCTCGCCACAACTCGGCTTGGGCTGCCCAGTCCTTGGTAGCTTTCCACACTTGCACTTTAACTTCCAAGTCTTCGCGAAGAATAGCCAGCTCGTCGAATGAACTCTGGCCCAACCCGAGTGTTTTCTGGAACCCAATGTACTTGATGCTGGTGGTTTCGTGCTCGAGCAGGCGGTCGTGGATGCCTTCGAGCAGCGTCAGCATCTCCGCCGCGTCGCTTGATATCGACGCCAGTCGCTCGTCGTTGAGTTCGTCAAAGCTAAAATATGTGATATTTTGATATAGTATTGAAAACACTGCAGTTTACCGCTCTTGGATTTGACTGGTGAGTTTCGGAATCTTCTTTTCCAGCTCTTTGGAGAACTTGTCCGTGTACGCTTCCGTGGACGTGTCCAGCAAATCCATCGACGTTTTGAGCTGGGCGCGCTTTTGCGCCAGCATAAACGCATTGGTTGAGTCCAAGTCCGACACCTAAACCCCACAAATAGAATTTCAATCTATCAATATATATTTGAATGTGTAGTTACTACCCGTATTTTATATTCGTCCGTGAGCCCATACAACATTTTCAAAAACATGTAGCGGTCATCTAAGCCGTTCATTTTCGACTGAGTGTCTCGCAGCGACGCCAACGCTTGCGCGAACTCGTCCACCGTGGTCGGGATCGACGAAATCGCATCGTTCGCCTTTGACACTTCCAACATCAAGTCTTCATTCTACAAGTCCCATATCTAGTAGTTAATACTATTCCCAAGCCAAATCCAGTCCAAGGAATATGACTAACGAGGACGTACCTTGTGTTGGGCGATGGTGGGAATGAGAAGGTGGAGGGCGTCCATGCATTGCCTGGGCGATGGCTTTAACGTGGCGTTGAGGGCGCGGCAGTCGGCCAGGATGAGCCCCACCACGGCCGTGTCCCCCAGCGTATCGAACCGAGCGATTTGCTCCGAGTACTTGTCCAGGTGATCTCTCAAATCGTCAATCGACCGGCCGAGGTTGGCGACGTCGGCCAAGTCGGACGCGACGTGGCAGAACGCCATGTTCTCAATGTACTCGTCTTGGAACGTGGCTAGGGATTGCGTAAACGTGACGAGGTCTTCGTACGATTGCGTGATCAAGTCGCCGATGCCAGAAGTCATGGTCTGGAACCGCGCGTCCTCGAGCACCATCATGTCAAGATTCAGTCCCGCCGAGAGCTCGCCGTTGGAGATTTCGTCTAATGAGGGCTTGACGAACGGCCCAAACTCACCGTGGCTCATGAGGCGGTCGCGCTTGGTGGCAGCTTTGAGGCCGCAAAACACGACGCTTTCCATCTCGGCTCGGAGTTCGTCGCAGCTAGGCGTGAACAACAGGTCCGATCTATACGAATCCGACCCTGGTTCCGCGAGCAAGTGGAGGTGGATCTCCACGCGGAAGAGGGGGGTCGCGGCCGGCGGGGGCGCCGCGTGCAGCTTGAGCTTTTGTTTGCCAGGTATTGTTGTGGCGGCAGTGGTGGTGGGGGTGGGTTGGGAGGACGAAGCGGTCTTTTTGGTCTTGACGTCTGCCGCCAAGACAGTCGCGAGCCGCCGCATTTCGTCGAGCAAGTACTGGGTCGAGATGACGCCCAGCAGCATGAACGAATCCACAACGAAGAACTCGACGAGCCGGATCAACTTGGTGATTTTTCGGCACTGGGTGCGCATGGCCGCGCGCTCCGTGAACGTGACCGCGCGGCCGTTCTGCCACACGGCTTTGGTCTCGGCTGACGACGGGGCATCCACGGGGTTCCGGACGTCGGACTCGTCTTCGGCCGAGGCGCTCTGCCCCATGAGCGCCAGAATGGACGACAGGTTCGGCGGCAGTTTTTCGGGGGTGGCAAACCCGTTGGCCAGCAGAAAGTCGCTCAGAAACGCGTTGCACGTCGTGTGGGTGGTCGCGACGATCGTCTTGACAAAGTCGCCGATTCGGGTTTGGGTGTCGGTCATCTGCACTTGCTGGCGCTCGGAGAACTCGACCAAAGTGTACGTGCGCCGCGCTTCGATCGTAAAGACCCGAAGCAGCCCCATGTTGTAGCACAGCGTCCGCAGCTCCATGAGCGCCCCATGGAGACTCGACCGGAGGATGAACAGGTCCTGGGTCAATACGCGCTTGCACACCGCTGTCTTGAATGCCCGTACGTTGGTCTTCCACGTCCGGAACTGCTTCCACACGCGGTATTTTTGGAAGAACGGGATCTCACGAACCAAAGAAAACATGTAGTGCTCCCGCTCGAACGTCTCGAGGTACGTGAACTCGGGCACGCCGTCGCAGAAGTGGGTGATGCCGGCCCGACTCATCGTGTAGTAGTCGTGCACGTTGATGGCCGCGTGGTCCACGACTACGAGTTTGTACGGGTTGTCTTCTGCCCGGACCTACCCAATCCATGTGAATCCTACAGCATGATCTGCTTAAGACGAGAACTAGTACTCACGAGATACAAGAACGAATCTTTGGGCACGCCCCTGGTCAAGATGCTTTCTTCAACGCTTTCCGTGAACGTTTTCAGCTGCGTGGACTTCTGCAGCAGTTGGGCTCGGGTTGGCGGGACGGACGAGTCGTTTGGCGGTCGGGTGGGCTCTGCGGACTGTCGGGGGACAGGAACGGACAGCGACACGAACTTGGGCTTCTTGGCCTGCGGGCGGCGACCGTCGAGGTAGTACGCATCCCGGGCGCTTAACGGAACCGGCGGCGATGTTTCAGCCAAAGCTGGAGTCGACGAAGGCGCCTTAGGAACCATTGGACGAGGTGTCAGAGCCCCTTTGTTTCCCGACGGAAACGATGGCGTGGTGTGATTCGACTCTGGTCGACGTGGTACCAAGGACTTTTCCGTCGACAGCGGCGGCACAAGCGGCTGTAACGTGAATGGACTTAGCTTCGAGCCGGATTCTTTTTTGGGCGGGAACAATTGCGCTTGGAGTAACGTGCGTTTGATTCCTTTGGCGTAGATCCGATCGATCAGAAGCGTTTTGTCCGATGGGCCTGAGGGAGGGTGGACGCCTAACGTCCCCGTCGGCGGGGTTTCATTGCCAGCGGTTTGTAGGCGCAGTTCGTTGAGGTTCAGGATACGTGAAAGCCGCTTGGGAACACTAGCACCGCCGGTTGAAGGAACATGATTCGACGGAGGGGGTGATGGTTTCTTCCTTCTAGGCGGCGGCGCTGCGGCTCGCACCTCATCGGCCATCTATGTGCTGCGAGCGACTCTTGGGACAAAATCATGAGCCAATGAAACTCTACGTGGGCAATCTTCCTCTGGAAACGAGTTCTTACCAATCGGTATTAAGAATAACAGGTAAATAGCGTATGGGTCCAAATATTTTGACAGTAACGTTAAGCTTATTGTGCTTTTCATGTACGGTAATTTGCCCGTTGTTTAACTGCGTTAACTGTAACGAACCAAACGTTTAAAATAATATAAGCCCGATCGAAGATAAAACAGCGCTAAACCGAAGTTGTGCATTTCAGCAGAATAAAACAACCGGAGGCTGCGGGAACAGGCGATAGTTACTAGCAACGAGAATTCCATGAACCTTGCCAACACAACATAATGTTCCATCACGCTTCAAGTATAGCTAGAAGCATCTATCACTGGGATCGGCGCGGTTTGTCGTCTGACGTCGCCGAAGCATCTTTCTTGCTGTCCGCCGAACGCCGCACCTCGTTGTCCAGCTCGTCGACGTCGAACATTTATCGACAATTCGGCGGTTTCGTACTTTCTCGCACAAACACAGTTAATTTTTTAAATGACATTTCAAAGTTATATTATTACATTATAACTTAACAAAGTTAACCTAAGTTAACGTTAACTTTGTCATAATTTATGACAAACATTGTTAACCATCCGAGAAAGTACATGACTTCGACTAACGATTTCTTAGCAATGGTTGGGCGATATGCCATAAACTTTCGCGTGCAAGTAGATTTCGATGGTGTCTATGGAAGTTGATAAGAGTTCACTAAGTTGGGACAATAGTGGGCAAGAATCGGAGCATCAAACATTCCATTTTTGAAAAATATAGCTTACTTTGTTCATGAATATCGCAATCATCTAACACTATTTGGTTTACCATCACACGCCATCATGCAGTACATAAGGTCACAACCGTGTATGTAAAGTTTCGCATTGATCCCCTCAATCGTTATACACTTATACTGGCCTAAATATGGTGTTACGACGATTTCTCCAAAGATAGCAATATGTTGACAAACATTGTTTGTCATAAATTATAACATAACATAGCAATGATGCTATATTTATTTTTATCATTTGAATGTCAAGGAATAAAAATACGTGCATTTGAATGAAGTCACCCAACTCACCCGCTTCCGGAACTATTATCCGGATAGATTCGAATTTCTCGCGGGCCTTCCATTCCCGGAATGGTAGCGCGCTGATCCGACAATTGTGAAGCGCAACTGGTCCTCTGAAGGCTTACGCGATCTAACAATATATTGCACCAATTGAAGTTGTATGTGTCGTGTGCTGATCAACCAGTTTCACTAATAAAACTGTCGAAATGACCAATTCCCGCAGCCTCCCGTACTTTATTTCAGCCGCTAACCAATCGAGTTGCAGCACCAGGCCAACTTACGCAGCACAACCACCAGTTCATCACGATGAATCCCGTATTAGGATGTGAAATGGATGTATATATATACTATACATCGTGTAGTTGTAGTGCTCCACGTACAGTACTAACGTTAGTACAGATCGAGTGTTGTAGGTACTGTAGTTGATTTGTTAAGTGGGAACTTTGGAAAACTGTATAATCCAATACAATACAATATTCAAATTTGCAGGTATAACGAGTCACCTCTCATAAAGAATAAATATCAAGATACGAGAATTAAATTGAGTGCCATGTGCGCGCGAAATTTTGTTGTCAATTGCATTCATGCCGCGCGACACGACACGCCCAGTAGCCCATCGCAATGCGACTGGGAGACCGTCCATCAAGAAGGTTTCCCGGAAGGTGCCTTTGTTCAAGACTACATCCTACTCAGTCGCGAAGAAACATTGCATTATCAATGCAGCAAGAGACATATTAATAAATGATGCGCTCGACACCTACTTCCCAGGACTCAGTGGAACCCCACGCAAGAACCGTCCAATAGACTTAAAAAAATCTATGCGACCACAAGGAACTTCCACCACATTGGACAAGGCTACTGAGGAAGGCGTGGCTGACTGGGTCAACGAACTGCGTTCGGAAGGGATCCCCGTAAGCAATCTGTTGCTGCAATCACGCGCGCTTGAGGTTGCCCGAGACTTGGGTTTTGGTCGCAACGACTTCAAAGCCAGCAATGCTTGGATCCAAGGCTTCATGAAACGTTGGCGCTTTGCAATGCGGTCCAAGAACCGTGTTGGCCAAGCGGACCTAGCACAAGGAGAAGCGAAGTTAGCCGAGTTTTCAGCGCGCGTTCGCGACGTTGTAGCTACAAGGGGTGTTGAAACCATTTACAATGCCGATCAAACTGGTATCAACTACGAATACATACCAAAAAAGACAATTAACCAACAAGGCGCCAAGACCGTATGGATCAACGGCTCTGGACATGAAAAGGATCGTCTAATATCAATGGTGTTAGCAGATTCGAATGGCGTGAAGTATCCATTGTTTTTGGTTCTCAAAACGGGTGAGTCCAAAATTGCCGAAGTCGTTCAAGAAAACTTGTCCCAACGAAACGGTTTTGGACGTACCTTGTGGCCTGAAGTTGAAGAACTCCATGAGCGC